GACTCTCCCTTTGGGTGGGCAACTTTATTAATTTTCAATCCAAATACAATAAAAGAGTTATCAGTTTCAGCTGAGAACTACACAGATCTTACCGAAATCAACATATGAGGAAAAAAAAAAAAGGAAGAGACAGCTGTAATGCTACAGTAGTTTTTAATATATAAGTTGTAAAATATGTGATGAGCTCCTTGCTGATACAAACACTGATGCAAGGATTAGCAAGCACCACTGGGAACTGGTTTCAAACTGGGTGATACAGCTTAGACATGGAGGCAGGGCTTGGCATTCTTCCCCTGTTTGTAAAGAGAGCAGAGCTCCACCTGCGTGGTGCCAAGATGAGATGTTTAGAGAGATATGACACAGTGTCTGTGTACTGCTTCAACACTGTATGGGTTGCAGTGAAAGCAACACATGCTTTCAATAAAGCAGAACTCCTTATAAAACTTTTCTGCTTGACTTTATATTAAAGCAGAGTAAGTGTCATACACACATTCAATGCTTTATCAAAAGTTAGCTATTGCTTTAAGTGACTATTTAAACCATTTAACCCTCTGACTGAATCGGCCTTAGTTATGGGAAATTTACTGACTTGATTTAGCTCACTACAGTCCAGTACACACTTGCCACTACCTCTTCACAAAAGGCTACATAAAGCCTTTGGCTAAGAGGAAAGAAAACAACACACGAAGGTTCATCACCTAAAAATACTACGCTCGCAGAATGTGAAGGCACCTACTGCCAAGCAGAGCAACACTGGGGGGGGGAAGAGGAGGAAAGGAAGTATGTACCTTATACAGTGAGCTATTTCAAAATATTATGACTACTGAGAAAGCATTTAAGCACCTTAAAAAGAGAACTGCATTTGATGTTCAGTCATCTTTGTTCACTGAAGGTCAACGTACACAATCTAACTACTCCATGCTGGGTAATGGGTCATTAATACTAAACATGAATGAATTTGCTAAGGATGAAAGGCGCCCAGCAGGCAGCAACAGAAATTCCCATTCTTTTTTCTTTAAATGAAGGAGATTACGGCAACACGCATCACACTACAGCACTGTTACAAGGAATTCTTAAGATAAAAAGTGTTTAAAGTTTCTTACTAGAAACATTCCATCCTTTACCTCTCTCCAGTTTGCCACTGCTGTTGGCACACATCTATCCATGTATTATTGTTCCTGTACAACAGTTAGAAGCTTCAGAGAAGTGTCTTCAAACGCAGAACCTGGTAGCTGTACACCACGACAAGCAGACTCCATACTCAGGCCACGAGGAGTAGCTTTTTCGACATATTTGGTTGAATGTGTCTCCATTCAAAATAATCAGATTTTTTGGCCCCCAACATTTTTAGCCCCAGTATAATAGCTATCTTCCCTGTCAATTCCAATCATGACATGCAACTGACAGCCCAAAATTTCATTTTTATTGGTATATGCTATAAAATAGAGAACACTGTGTTAAGTTTAAAAATTAAAAGAAAATTTTAAAAAAGGCAATAATTAGCTGGAAAAGCTTCTTTTGAGGACTACTAGCATGGCATCTTTAAGCTAAAAGATCAGAAATCTTGGTATCTTAGAGCACAATTTTAATATTTAGTAAACTGTATATAAGGCACAGTCAATAGTAATCAAAACAAACAGCAGTTTATGACAGATTATACATATTAATATACAACATCCACAAGCGCACACAAGTTAAATGCTGTTCCCACAGACCAGAACAAAACTATTTTTATTCACATAATGCCACTGCATGTCTTTAATACTCTGAAATTAAATGTGTAGTATTTCGGAAGAACTGAAATTAATTCATTATGAAATAGAACATATTCTAAATTTTTAGGTTCAAACATAAACCATGGCAATACATTCTGCATCATTTCTTAACCAGGTTTGTTTTTAACAAATCATTTGCCTGACTCTCTTTAACACTATAATCTCCCTCTAATTACTTAGAACACTTAACGCCTTTCCCCAGAAGCACATCAGACAGTCATCCACAAAACCCTGACCTCCTCCCCAAAATACAACAGCAATAGTTCCCCTTCCCAAACATAACAAACAGATTTATAATTCCATGAAATACTTTCTTGAAAAGCATAGATCTGCTTGATCATACTTTCTTGAAAAGCATAGATTACTGTAGATTTATCATTACTCTACACAACAAAGTCCAGTCTTCCAGTGTCTAGATACTCACTGCAAGTCTCCAGGAGAGAAAACAATACTGGAGATAGAGTTACAGTTAAAAAAAAAAGTAACGCTTCGACAAAAATAGAAACCAAAACCAACTCTTCATTCTTATTACAGGACAGCAGTTATCTCCTGCTTGTTCCAAGTTTTGTCACAGACTCTTGCAGACTGACTTGTACTGATTATTTGATGGAAATTTGACACCTGCAGTCCCCTTGTAGTTTAAATTCACTTTGACTGATTTACATCCTTAGGAACCCCAATGGTAAACTCTTTAACAAGAGCCTATTAAAATACTTGTGTTTCCCTTCACGTTAAATAAGCTTCGGCTGACTTTGGCTTACGCTTCAGAAAGGTGCTAACATTATTTTTACTTTGTGTAGCAGATAAGAAGGTAACTTTAACATAACGATTATTTGAGCAGCCTAGTCTAGAATCAAGAAGAAAGGGTATACAGTTAGACTGCACTTTTTCCTCTTGTCATACGACAACAGAGTTCACAAGACGGGCCAGAAAGAGGCATGGCAAAGGGCAGACTAGTGTCTCTCAATGCAGAAAGAAGTATATAGTAGTACTGTTACCAGGAGAACTGGCAGCACAGACAGGATCAACACAGCTTCTGCCTTAGATGATGAAGCTACTAACCAGTTCCCGGAAGGTTCCCTAACACTTTCCCACTTTTGCTGAATGCAGAGACCGATTTAAATTTTCTAGGACGACTGCAAGAAGCTCAACTGTTTACAGCCGTACACCAATTTAAGATGGCTAGCAAAATCAGTCATAAAAATACCTTGTCTGCATAGAGCTGCAATTGACAAAAAAGTTTACAAGCAGATTTCTAATGATTAACCAGATGTACAGTGTCTCAATTAGTTCCCAAGCCGCGGCTTGTACCCAAGCACACTTCAGAACGTGCTGCAAAACAAGGCATTAAGACACAGACAACCAAGGACTCTGAGGAGCACCTTCACCAGCTATGTAACAGAACCTCAGATATAGACTGATTGAAGTTGGCCTTACTCATTTATTTTCTTCTCTTTTTAAAAAAGACAGTACAAGATGTCTGTTTTCAAATCAGTTTAAAAAAGGTAAACAAGTTTCCTGAAGAAATAGAATTATCTTTATTATTTAGAGCACATGTTGAACAGGTTGACAGTTCCCTATGGAGCAACGCATACAGGAAAACTAGTGGTTTTATAACAACAGGCAGTCAAGTGAAACTTAAATGTTTTTTGAACCAGTTATCTGCACATCAGTCTAGGAGTACTTTAATCTCTGAGCCAATATACCTGCAAATCAAGATTATGTTGCAGGTTTTTGCAAATATACTTCTAGTACTGTTGAATTTCGGAAGCAGTTTGTACTAATCTTCTATATTGTCACTTGGAATCCATGCACAGTTCAAAAATTTGCATGGTCACATGAATACAGTGCGGTAACTACTCCTTAACAGAAATGCACGTGTAACTGGTGCCACTGAACATCAGTCACCAAAACACTAAAAATCTATATGAACTTCTCCATTTGAGGATATATCAATATGAAAGTCATTAGATGCACTTTTTTTTTATTAAAATGGAAAGTCTTGAAGTCTGTTTCAGAGTTAAATGTATAGTAGTTCCCCGCTTTCATTAAAATGAATTTCAGTAACTGATGCAAAATTCAAGCTGTAGGCTACAAGTTACAGTAAGCATTATCCACCCATACTTGCTTCCTTGGCTAGTGTGAAGAGAAAACTTTTTACCAAAAAAATTACTGAAAGAAGTGTATTTTATTATATGTATACAAACATGCCACAGATATCTCTACAACCCTAGAAAACACTAATAAAACACTAAACCAGCTTTGATGCAGGCTAAACTCATCCTAAAGGGGGAGACAATGTTATGTTCATTAAATAACTAGTTTAGGCAGCTCATGTTATGACATATGCAAAAAAGCCACACTTATCTAAAGGACTTTTTTTTTCCATGCAGTAAAAACTATATTACAGTACATGGAGGCCAGAGAAAAGTTGTGCAGCAAAGGTTAGTCTCTACAGAGCTGCAGTTTAAGAACAGTCTAGTTGTGCTGCATTTTTTAAGCTAGTTATCCTTTCCATAGAGCAAGGAAAAACAGGTGTTGTGGGTCCATCTCAGACTTGTTTGGCTTTTGCATTCTTAACATTAATAAATGCTACACAGCAAACAATCAAACACAAAGTACATTAAACATTCAGAATGCCAATGGCGGGCAGTTATAATGTGAATTTTGGTTGGCAGAGAACCATTCAAGATGAAGATTTAAAGAAAGCTCAAGTTGCAACAACAGATACTGGCTCATTAAATGAAAGCATCTTTTAACAACGGTCATTCAAAGCAAGAAGACAGACCAGCTCTGTGCAGAGTATGATATAAAGTTAAGTGCACTTTAAAGTCCTGGAATATTTAGAAAGGTTATTCCCTTTAAACTGATGCCAGCAAAAAAGCTTGCATTAATTTAGCAGAACTCTGCCTCAGTTAAGTATTTTAGATGATTGCCAAGGTATAATAGTGATGAAGAATTCAGTGCCTAACAGTAATTTTTTGTTGTTGCTGTTGAAAGCATTTGGAAAGGACACTGAAGTCTTCTTGTATATCCACCATTTGGCAAGTATAGGTTACCCATTTTATTTGTACAGCCAGGGTATAGGTATGATTCCTGGAACTACACCAAGGCAGGAGTAAACTACTCAAATTCTGTCAAAGCTAAGTAAGTTACTGCTGCCACTTCAAAAGATCACTTAATCACCAGCCTGAAGTTCAATTCTATGAAAAACAAAGTTATTGGGCATCGTACAATCCTTGTTAAATACTATACGAGTCAACATAGTGACTAATGCTGCCAGCTTAACCCACAATTATGACGACTACAGAACGCAGAGGAGAGAAGCAAGTACAAATTCTATGTTATTCTGGGAGTTGCCCAATGCACATCAGTTTAGAATGTGTTCTTGTTTCAGGCTACAACTTGTAAAAAGCAGAAATAAATCCTAAACACTTTAGGGGTTTTGCAAGATAAAATCCTTAGGCTAGCAATTCATCCAATATTTGACATCTTCAAAACAGCTATGAAACCCACGTCGTCTTCTTAGAGCAGGAAAACTAAAAACGTAGTTCTGCTTCATCTGAGATAAACATTCTCTCTCTGTTTCTCAACTCCAATTAGCTGTGGCTAGTAATTACTCCTAAGTTTTGGGTCTTTTTTGGACTTCAGAACTTGCACTTGCTTTGTTTAGAGTGAAATCAGAACAGGAATCACATTTAGATTCACAAAGTTTGATATCCAGCATAGCTTTTTCTTCTGCCAATTATGTAAGCAACCACTATAATGGCAATCAAGCCAGCAAGTGCAGCACCAACTACAATTGGGATTAGAATGCTGTCATCATCCAGCGAACACTCCTGGGCTGTAGATGAGAAAAAGGTTGCAACAAGGAATAAATAAAGACAGAATACTTGCCAAGTGTGGTATAAAAATCTGTTTTCCTTACTATGGTGTTAAAAAATCAAGTATTATTTATTACCTCTTTAAACTAAGAGAGAAAGAACTGTGGATGTCATGGGCACATCTAGCATATATTAAGCATTGTAATCACTTGGAATGTTTGATAAACTATAGTAAGCTAACGGAAGTACCCCTGGTGTACAAGTTTTCATGTGCACAAGATCTGTCCCAGACAAGGAAGTAGCCATTCTTCTACTTTTAACATGGAACCAGGCTTATCTATTTCATGCTTAAGGCAAGTCTGGTGCTTTTACTCATTAAGAATGAAGTGACCTAGATTTGGCATCAAGAACCTATCCAGAATGGAGATATGTTACAGAGAGATGAAGTAACTATAATTAGGAGAAGGAGGAAGCTAACTGCAACTTGAACTACAGAGTGAAATGGGACCCTAACTCTTTAGAACATATTATGATAAATACTGTTTACCCTGTATACATCTGGGGAGTTAACTTACGTCTGCTTAAAAAAAGAAGTTAAAAAATCTAGTTAAAAGTTAAAAAGTCTAGTCTAGTAAGACTAGTAAGACTCTGCTGCAAGTGTTATCATTAAGTACAAAGACCAGGTTACACTAAAGATTAAGAAAGAGGTCATTTAAGCCATTCCAGTTTTCCCCAGACAAGACCAGGATAATGCAGCAAACAAACATTTAAAAAAAATAAATCTTTCTTTAGTTCTGGATATTCCAAGACTGCTTCTGAAAGAAGCTCTGTCAGTTCTTCCCAGCACCCAGCACTGTATGTCAAGATAATGTCAGCTAACTTCTAACCTATTCTGCAAGGTAATGCTTAAGTCCCTCTTCAGTGTCTCTAGCTCCTTCGAGTTTTATGAAGGAGAACCAACACACCTAGCAGACATTTTAAAGTGAAAACAAAGCTTTCCTTGAACTCGAATGTCAGTCTCAGAACTTCGCTTCATTCCATGTGCAAGAAACCCCCAAAACAACAAAATGAGCTTCAAAAATAAAGTGATTGTGTCCAATGCTGGTGCTTTTAAGCAAGTAAGAAATTCGCAAGCATTGCAAGAATTAACAAAAGAAGAACTCTCACCTGTAGAGAACTTATTTTCCTTCACGAGGAACGGCTGAATCCATAGATTAAAAGTATGTATTTGGAGATCTTCGTTAACCTCAAGAGTTTGCTCTTTTCGGCACATATAAGAACTACCAAGGTAAGCATCCCACTTGCTGAAATTGTTGTTATCTGCACTCGAAATGACTAAACAAAGCGGGGAAAAAGAAAAAAGAAATTTGCATGCCCACTTTAAATGTAAGAGAGTTGCTAATAGAATCATAAGACTAAGGAGCTGAATCTAGAGGGGCCAACTTTTCAACACTCACTACTCTGAAAAACAAGGTAGTCTGAAGCATAATTGATCTGCTTAACCAAAAGAAAACAGGCACTTAAGCTATTACAGTACTTAGCAGTAAGCTTTCCTCCATATAGACATGAAATTAGGTTTTCCTTGTACCTCCACTCATCCCAGCATTGCAGAGTTGTGAGCATTTTAGCTTTAGCGCCCTTTTAACTGCAGTAGCCGTGACAAGCAACTCAAAAAAACCAACCAAAAAACAATATTTTGATTTGGAAAAAAAGCATGCTTTAGTTTTTGAAGAACTATTCTCTTTTCCCAGTGAGAATTAAGTAGAAGTGGTTGGGAGACATAGCAACATCTTCAAAGACGACAGCCGCTGCTTTAAGAACAGCAAAAAGGTTTAGGGTTGGTACAACTGTATTTCACACCTCAAAAGATTATGTTACTGGAAACAGTTATAAATAAAGCACTCAGTTTATGTATGTTTATCACAAAGAGACCCCATTAGCAGAAGTTTCAGGAAAAGAGAACGATCCCATACTGGTATTTCAAGTAACTCATAGCCATTTCTGCTTATCACTTTTGCTCCTACCAACTTAAAGATTTAAAGTAGGAAGTAAGCATGAACACATTGAAAAAAGAATCAGAAGTATGTGATAAATACAGACACTGAATAAAAGCTTACACTTGCTTTAAGGAAGATACGATTTCTTACCAGAACCATTCAGACGGTTGAGCAGCGTAACATTCACCTCTTTCAGATAAAATTTTTGTACGCCTGCACTTGTATTTTTCTGTTTGAGGCAAGAACCAACTGTCAGTGTGCAATTCTGCATTTTTAACTTTAATAACACACACTTTACAAAGGCTAACACATTTACCACAGTCTTACATTTTCTACAACTGTAACCCAATTCTCCATTTGTCTTGAGGCAGTCAGCTAGCCAGTTCCACTTCCTATATGGGAACAGCTGACCACCAGCTAGTGACAGAAGGATTTTACTACGTGTGATCATCATGCAATCCTGTTAAATTGGAAACTTGGTTTAAAATAAAGTAAGTTACTTACAACAACAAATGTGAAACCAATCAATGTGCTATTTCCATCATTCAATTTCAAAGTAGCTGTTGTATTACCACATGTACCATCTGCGATAGTTGTCTTTGGATTGACGTTGATCAGAAGAGGCTGCAATACAGACATACCGTGTCAAAGACATGCAGCTGCCATTAGGAAAGCATTGTTTCAGGGAGCAGCAGTCTTAGGCTAGAAGAGCTTGTCATGAATATGACAGCAGTAAGACTAAGCCTGGCTACTATCAAACCAATGCTACTTGAGTTAAGTTTACATGCTGGGAATACTGAAGGAAACAAATTGCCCAGTGTAGTCTTATTTTGTTGACCTACTACAACAGGTTAGCTTTGGCTCCCTCTGTGGGGAAAGACAGTATCTGCAGGGACCAACAGCCTTAAAAGCTAAGAAAGTTCCAGGCTTTTAATTGTCAGAGGTACTCCCACTGAGGAGTTATGTAAGGTTTCGGAGCTAGATATTATGCCACAAAACTATTCTGAGGTCAGAGGGGTGCCACGTACAATACTTAGAAGCAGTTCTGGACAGCCAGCAGCGTACAAAGCAAATACCCTGCACTTGCATTTCATACCATATAACTACAGCAACCTTTCTACGCTTCTAAAATAGAAGAGAAGCACCTTGTCTTGGGAAACATTCAGCTGCAGCCCCACAGTAGCCAGAAGACAAGTTTTATTTCCACTTTTAAGAGAATAGTTTCCTGTGTCTGGATTCTCCACAGGTTTGGGAGCGGTTGTTGGAGCAGGTGATAAAGTGGTGGTAGATGCAGTAGTTACATTGGCAATAGTAGGCGGAACAGTAGGTGCAGAAGTAGGAGTATCAGCACGACATCTAGACTCTGAAAAGAAATTTTAACCACCATTTCAGTGCTGAAATTTTATTAAACTCTTATGACTCAGAGGTCACTTCAATACAGATACCAATTTCTCTGCTGAAATCTAGGCTCATTGAGAGTCTGCTTATCACCAAGTCAGAAGTCTCAAACTCAGCACTACAGCACAGTATCCCAAACAGTTTACAGCTACGATTTACTCTCACAAATTCTGTAATGCCCGCAGTTTTAAATTCATGTAGCATATGTAGTACTACTTATCTCCGACACACGGACAAAGATAGCTAAGTGGTTATAAAAGTGTGATATGTATTTGCTTGTAGGCAAAGCAAGCAACCCTATTAAGCTATGTGTAGCAGGACGATGTGCTCATCTCTTGAGTAGTTGAGCTGTGAGATGAGACAACAGGCTCTGGACTATTTAAATAAAAAGCAGAGGCTACCACTGAAAATGGAAGGCAGTCAGTTAAAAACCTTGAAGCTCCAATGATCTAGTCAGCAACAGTATTTTCAATACTCCTATTACTGGGATACACACTTTATTAGACTACCACCTTGACATGGGAACAATCTACATTACTATATACTACTAAATCTGTTCTACTTATCTATTTTTCCAGGAACAAGGAAATACCGACTAAAGGATATTTACATGAATATTATTCAACATAGCACATCTTAGAACCAGTGGATTATTCATTATGGGGCTTTGCTCCCTGCACTAAGGCGCAATACAAAAAAGCTCAGTCACACATTGAAATGCTCACCTTTTTTACTGATTGTGCCATTCTGAACAAAAGCCTGCACAGTAACATTCCAGAAAATCTGTGTTACGTTTTCTGCTTCAAAAGAAGCAGTACTATGACACACGAAGACGTTGTTCAGTTGAACCGGATGCATAGTACCCTTTACAACAATAGTAATTGGTCCTACAAATAAACACAAACACTTTAATACCTTATAAACTACAAGCACATTTATAGGTAGTGTTATGTTTCATATAATTCCATAAGACAAGGTGTAAGAGAGAATTGAAGTTTAACAATCCTAACCTCTCTTGAATGTTTTACCTATGTGTCCTGACCTGAAGTGCTAAGTAATGCAGAGAAGTAACCAAACTTCCAGAACTAGACATGCCATTACAAAAAGTGAACCTCTTAAGTTTTAGTTTCAGGGAGATAAAATCCTATTATTAGTAGGTATTAGTACATGCAAAACCTAACGCTGTAGTGCTCTGCTAGGTGGAAGGTCCAAGTGGTGCACAATAAAATGAATCTTCCATATGCCTTTTGTCTACTAGCAGCACCCCACTGACCAAGGCTGTTCAAACAGTTAATCCTCCCCTTCCATTGCACTAAAAGGAATTATACATTCAGGAAATCTAACTAGTCTGTATTCTTACACAGTAGGTAGGTATGATGAACGATAGTTAGGCAGTATATGGCATAGAAGTCATTAGATACATGATTAGTCCTTCTGACTTTGAAAAAGCCAACCAAGGTCAGGTACACGAGATCTGACACTTGTGGCCAAGATTGTTTTGTAAGTAGGATTCTGCACTGAACATTACCTTTTCTTTTAGCATCAGGAAATACAGCAGTATCATTGGTGTTGTAAGTAAATGTGATGAAGTCCCCCTGGTAAGTTTCATTGTTTTTTGTAAAGTTAATGCTCCAAGAGTGACCTTCTCCAAACTGTACTGCCAGAAGTGCAGCTTGTGTGTCATTGCCACAGACGCTTCCATTGTGTGTCACACTGGATGACAAATTCAAGGTTGCATTTTTCTAGAAGAAAAGGATAATTTAAAATGTTTTCACAGATAGCAGTTCTTCCCCATGACAACGTTATAAACCTGCTGGAGCGAGATGGAACCTTGCACAAGATTAGTGAGATTATTTTAGGTTACGCTACAAAATTATGAAAAAGGCTCCCTGACATCTGACTTACAAAGGAGCCATATCAAATTCAAGAACAGAAGTACAAATCTAACTTGGCTGTAAATCTTGACCATGCTGAGCTGCAATTTAGACTTACTATTTGGGCTAGAACACTACTATACTGTTTTTTTTGTATTATTGAGAACTTATGCTTTGTTTTAAAATGAATATTTAGGAACAGTCTTAACAATTGACTTCGTTTAAAAAAAAAAAGTAAAAAATCCAAACATCCTAGGTAAAAGAGTATACTTAAACTTTTGTCCAGGAAAAAAATCGAGTTCTCAACAAAAGTTACTTCCAAATACTTACATAATCACTACTGTTTGTTTCATATTTTATCGAGAATTTCATCATCCATTGTGCATACAGGCACGTAGCATTAGAGGCATCCTTTACATCTACTTCCACTGCATAGGACTGGAAAAAACCTATAAGACAGGATTATTAGCTATTAAGACACTGCTTTTACTTCATTTTCTAGAACCACTTAAGAGGACAGCTCATTACAAAGTAGCAGATTATTTCAGGACTGGATTCAATTTCCCAGACACTGAAAGGGATTTCCAAAAAGTATTAAAACTAGGAAGCACACCATGAAGTTATCAAAGCTAGATAAAAAGTTGAGAGAATATTTTACGGTCTGTTTACCTGACAAAGACTAATAATCTAAATAAGCACTAGCCTTCTAGTGACAAACTGAGTAAACAGAAGTGCATGAACACAGCAATTAAACTATGTTCTGCTTGTACACTATGGTCTTCCTATTATCTTAATCATAGAATCATAGAACATCTCAAGTTGGAAAGGACCCACAAGGATCAACTCCCTGCTCCTGGCAGGATTACCTAAAACTAAGCCATGTGACTAAGAGCGTCACTGAGATGATCCTTGAATTCTGACACGCTTGGTGCCGTGAGCCTGTTCCAGTGACCGACCACTCTCGCAGTGAAGAGCCTTTTCCTAACGCCCAACCTGATGGAGCTCAGTTCCATTTCCCCATGTCATATCACTGGTCACAGAACAGAGATCAGCACCTCCCCCTCCACCGTCCCCCTTGAGGAAGGTGCAGACCGGGCAAGGGAACCCCTCAGCCTTCTCTTCTCCAAGCTGAACAAGCCAATGACCTCAGCCGCTCCCCAGAAGTCTTGCCCTCCAGACCTTTCACCATCTTGGTTGCCCTCCTCTGCACACCCTCTAATAGTGTCATGTCCTTCTTGTACGGAGGAGCCCAAAACTGCACACAGCATCTTATGCATTTCCATCAGTGGTACGACTCAAGTTGACCTCTCGGAGATGAGACCGGGGTGCCTTCATTGTGCTTCCACAATTTCTGGCTCAAAAGACACTGACGTTAAATTCTGTTTACATTTTTATGGAACTGGTAACAGTTGTTGGATTTTGCAGCCCAGCAAAGCCCAGCAGCGGCACTCCCCGTAGCCTGTTCCGACCTGACCCTGGGCGGCTGTGACCGTTGACCCCCCCCCACC